GGCCGCGTGGGGCCGGGTTGGGCTCTCGGGCACGGCGTGGGCGGGAGCCCCGTGGGCGCCTGGGCCGGGAGCCGGCAGCGGGCAACGGGCAGCAGAGAGCGAGGAGTTGCGCGTCTGGCCGGGTCGGGCCAGGCTACCTTTCCGTGCGGGTCTGTGCGCACTGCGGAGCAACGCAGAGGTTTCAAACATTTTGAATTCAGAACTTCTTTACGCACTACTGAGATCCTCAAAGACTTTTGGTTTATAAACATTAATATTTGTCATATTAGGAATTAAAATGGAAACTTGAAGAATGTATTAACGCATTTAAAAACAACCGGACTCGACATGATAAGTAACATTTAAAAAATAAAACTATTTTCTAGGCCAAACAAAACAGAAATGTAGCATTGTCATATATTTCTGTGAACCTTTTTAATGTCTTCCAAAATGGAACACAGTACCAAACCCCTTATAAAGGTATCAGTCTAACCCACACAGCAATATGGCACAAGGATGCAAAAGAAAAACAAAGGTTCTGCAGTAGAGGGCCTCTGAGATGACCCAATGTTCTCTGTGGAGCAAAAGACCACGTCTCCAAAGGCTCACGGATTTTAATGGTATCCATCAAGGAGGTGCTTGGGGCTCCCTGCAGAGTGCATAGGGAAAAGAAACTTTGTAACTGTAGCAGGCACAGAGACCTCCAGTTAGCACTGCACAGATAGTTTTGATGTATGCAAGGCTGGCACCTTTACTGCAGGAACATTTGTTTCAATATAGCCAGCTCTACATGTCTCAATGAATAAGGTGAAGGAGGGTCAGGGACAGGCTGTTGCAAGGGCTTTGTGTTTTGGGAGAGAGCAGCATAGTGGTCTCCCACATCACTCCCTTTGTATTTATGTAATTGTAGCAGTTGAAACAGCATGCAGGCTGTGACCAAGTTAAATTGAGACCTATATTAATAAAAATTAGCCTCAGACAGCTTCAGCAATGCTGGTGAGCCACCCTGGACAGCTTCAGGGGCCTGGTGGCCACTCCCCACCCCGTCACACACCCCAGTGGAAGCACAGCTGAACTTCAGACACCTTCAGTGGTCTGGTGACTTCATGCTCACCCCTCACCCACTGGTGTGGGAACCATGTTGGGTCCCAGGCAGTGTGAAGAGCCTCAGTGACCACAACCTTCTCACTCCTGCACCCTTGTAGAAGCAGGGCTGAAACCCAGACAGCTTTGGGAACCCTGTGTGGTTGCCAAGCTGAGCCCTGGACAGCTGCAGGAGCATCAGCAATCGCGCCCTTCACCCACACACAATTGAGGGAGCCACACTGAGTACCAGGGACCTTTGGGTCTTTGCCCTGCCCCTCCGAAATCATCCTGGAAGTGAGGCTAAGCTCTGAAATGATAGCAACTAAAGTAAAGGAACAACTCCATCAGGCCATAGAAGACATCAGGTCAGAAATAATCTCTCAGGTGAAAAGAAATGACAACAATAATGACAATTGCTCCGCACATCGAAAGAGGCATAGAAAAGAAAATGGAGGCTCATAGCAAATCAGTGGAAACCTTGAATGAACAATATAGCTAGAATGCATGAAACATTCAAACAGATATCCAGGAAATTAAAAATTCCATTGAAAGCTGGCAAAACTGCTTGAATGAAGCTGAAGGTGTATTTTCAGACCTTGAAGACAGCATTGCTGCTAACGACTGAAAGGAAGGACCTCTTAAAAATGACAAAAACCAGAAAATGACAAATCAACAGCTGCAAGATGAAGCAAAGAAAAACAATATAAGATTAATAGGTGTAAATTAAACAGGCATCAACACAAATGACATAAAAAGACTATTTGCAGAAATAATAGCAGAAAATTTCCTAAGTATGGAAAAAGAATCAGACATACAGTAAGTGAGGCATATAGAACTCCAGTTACCCATAGCCAAAATAAATCTACACCCAGACATAGTGATCAAGGTCCTAGAAATTCAACAAAAGAATAGAATACTAAAAGCTGTCAGAGCAAAGAAACAGTTCACCATTAAAAGAAAGCCCATCAGAATCACAGCATATTTCTCAACACAAACCATCAAATCAGGAAGAACTTGGAGTGAAGTATTTCAGGTACTGAAAGAACACAACTTCCAACCCATATTGATGGACCCTACAAAACTATCCTCCAAAATTAATGGAGAAATAAAATATTCCATGATAAAGAAAAACTGAAGAAATTCATGAGCACAAAACTGGTCCTACAAAGAGTACTAAAAGATATTCTAGAAAGAGATTTAAAAAGACCACAAATTCAAGAACAACAGAAAGGAACCACCAAGCCAAGCAAGCAATTAAACAGAGGGAAAAAGGAAGAACCAACAGCAGGAAAATAACATGACAAAAATAAAGCAATACACATCAGTTATAACCATCAATGTAAATGGTCTCAATTCACCAATCAAAAGATGCAAACTGGCAGACTGGATCAAGAAACAAAATCCAACAATATTCTGTGTACAAGAAACACATTTAACTCAAAAGGATATTCATAGACTGAAAATCAAAGGATGAAAAACCATACTCCATGTGACAGGAACCCAGAAATAAGTGGGTATAGCTATTCTGTTTATAGACAACGGGAACTTCAAGAACAATCAAAAGAGATAATGAAGGTCACTACATACTTGAGAGGGAAAAACTTCAAGAGGAAGAGATAACAATTATAAATATCTATGCACCAAATACAGGAGCACCCAACTATATAAGACAAATTTTAACAGACATGAAAAATGAAATAAACAGCAACACAATCATAACAGGAGACTTTAACACACCATTGTCACAAAGAGATCAGCTAGACAAAAACTCAGCAAATAAATAACAGAACT